ATGCACCTCCCATTCCATCATATGGCAGCTGTGAGAATGTGCCACTCACATCTCTGACTGCAGGAAATGCAATGGACCCAGGGCCGTGGCCACCACCCTCAGAAATGCATCACTGCATTGGGGGTGAGGCTATGCTTTCCATGGACTGCTGCACCAGTGCCTGAGCACAGCAGGGAAGCAAGGTAGGCCCATTATGGGATCCTCTGACAGATGACAGCTGAGGACTCCCCGAAGGCCTTGCTGAACCTGTCTTAGAACTGCCCTCCAGACCAAGAGGCTGCCACCCAGACTCCCTTCCCTTCTTCCTGCTCTTCAGTGCTCCCTGGGGTCAGCCCTCAATCCCAGTCTGACTGCTTTCAAAATCTTCTGGCTCCCTCCTCATTTCTCTCACAAACATTCCCCCTAAGAAGTTTCTTGCATGTTTAATCCCTTCTTGGCGTCTGCTTCTTAGACAATCTAGACTAACGCATGTTACCTTCTTAATACTTACCTTTAACTCAACTTATCATTAAATAAAGGTATTTAAGAAGGAATTTTACATCGCTACTGGAGATAGGAAGCCAAATCACTTGCCATAAATAGAGGGAAAGCTGAATATGCATAGGTATAGACCAACGAAATAATGTTATTACATTTTAGCCGGTTACTCTTTGCTTACTTGCCAGAGGATCAAAGTCCGAGATTGGGTTGCTCTTTAAAGGGCGTTTAGCTAGTGTTAGGCCAGTGTTAAAGACCTATTCACAGCTGGGCACAGTAACTCACGCCTGTAATCCCAACATTTCAGGAGGTCGAGGTGGGTGGATTGCTTGAGTTCAGGAGTTCAAGACCAGCCTGGGCAACATGGTGAAACCCTGTCTCTACTAAAAATACAAAAATTAGCCAGGTGTGGTAGCATGCACCTATGGTCCCAGCTACTTGGGAGGCTGACGCAGGAGGGTCACTTGAGCCCAGAAGGTTGAGACTGTAGTGAGCTGTGCTCACGCCACTGCCTTCCAGCCTGGGTGACAGCAAGACCCTGTCTCAATAAATAAATAAATAAATAAATAAATAAATAAAACCACACAAAACAACCCTATTCACGTCAAACCAAGACTTTCCCCTGAATCTAAGCAGAAGAATCAAAAGAGAATTAAAGAGAGAATAACTTTCTCATTTGGGGTTTCCACGTTACCATTTACCATAGACCAATAAATATTCCTCAGACAGACACATAGTCACACACATGGTTGAAAGGCAGTAATGATAAGTTAATTGTTGGGGAAAACTTGTGGCAGGAAAACTACTGAAATACTAATTTGTGTTTTGTTCTAGTAGTAAGTTTTCCTCTATCAGCACCAATCAGGTAGCTGTTCCTTCACGCTTTCTTGTCTTTGGGGGTCTGTGTGGAGAGGGCAGGGTCTTTTGAAGGCGCTTCTCCTGCAGCAGTCAAAGCAAGCTAAATTCATGAGTGGTAAGAGCAGTGTGTGAACACAGGACCATGGAAGCACAGGAGGAGGCTGTTCCAGCTGGGGAGGAGGACACGGGCTTGATCCAGAGAGCAGTGAGGACCCCCATTTCCCTCCTTGCGGACAGAGTCCAAAGTGGAGAGGGAAGAAGGTGGTTGCATGGCAAACCCACCACATTGGGATGGAGCCTTGGCGTCAAATTAAAGAAATAAAATCACACGACAATATCCATACGCTTGAGTTTGTGCATCTGGATTCATACACATCTGTAAGCATCTTAAGTAATTCTTTTTCTTTTTCTTTTTTTTTTTGAGATGGTGTCTCCCTGTGTTGCCCAGGCTGGAGTGCAGTGACGCAATCTCAGCTCACTGCACCCTCCGCCTCCCAGGTTCAAGCAATTCTCCTGCCTCAGCCTCCCAAAATGTTGGGATTATAGGCACGAATCACCGAGCCAAGCCGTATTTTACTTTTATCTTCACTTTTTCTTTTTCTTTCTTTCTTTCTTTCTTTTTTTTTTTTTACAGCTACCAACTTCAGTGAATCTTCAC